GTTGTTACCAGCGCGCGGAAACTAGACACCCATGAAGATGAGGAGGACCGCAAGGAGCGCGAGCGGTTGAATGCCACGATGAAGCTTATGGGCATTGAGAAGGTAGCTTCGCCTCCGTCCCCGCTCCCACCAATGTTGAAGAGCTTCTCCACGCCTGGAGATGCCAGTGCTTCGCCTGTAACACCCGTGGCTGCACCTGCTCCCAGCCGCTTTTCCTTCTTCCGTCGCTCATCCTCTATCAACACCCGTTCCGAGACCGCCTCCGTCAGCTCTTCGGGTGGTAATACCCGCCCCCCGTCCACCGGGCCTCATTTGACACAGGAAGTCCTCGAACAAGTTGAGGCCGAGAATACGCTCGCCGCTCTGGACGCCCACGAACGCCACCTGAGCGCCGAGATGGCGAAGGGAGCCGGCAGCGGCTTCACGGAGATCGTACGCCGCAGTGGGGACCGACGCTCCTCTCACCGCAGCGGTAGCGGTAGTACGGTATGGAGCGCGGGCATGAGTAGACATGAGGATGAAGATTAATGGTTTCGCCCTCTTAACTTCTAGACTCGTTATGGCTCTATGGGTAAGTAATCATCATGTTGTATGTACTCGGGATCGGGACTGGTGCCATGGTTGGATTCGGTCCATGTTCTCTCACTCATATGGCGTATGCATATTACGACTAGGTCTGTATCCTGTTGTGTTAACGATTGACTGATATGATCACAGTACGCATCGACATTCGGAACCCCTCGCATTGCTACACTACCATCATACAACCTGGGCTCTCTTGTATACCAGAGTAAATAATCATCTTCGCATTCTAGCATGTATACAGGCACACTGCTCCTCGCAGAGTTAGAGTTGCATGTAGTTGGATGGCTTGAAAGGATTTAGTCTAGATGTCAACGGGGCAATGCAGCGTTGTCCTCTGCGAGTGATGCATCGAAATTTTGTGATGAGAGGCAATACCTTGGTGGGATGGTCGCCCGGCGCATTGATGGACGGGGCTCTGCTCGCTGTGGCTATCCGTTCCATCTTATCTCGGCACTTCGTGTTTGACCAGAGTGTTCTCGGCGTGTTTCCGGATTGTTTCGAAAGGATTTGACGAAAACTCTGGGGCTGAGAGGATTTTGGGGATTCTCATGCGTTCCATCGCTCTGCGTGACGGGAAGATGAAGTGGGCGGTGCGTGCAACAGTTAGAACGAAGGCTTACAGAGCATTCTTTCGCTGCGCCTTGGACAGCGGCGCATGCCTGCCCTCGCCAATCTGCCCAGGCGCAGCCTTGGGCTTTTTCGGAGCCTGCTCGCCGTCTGTGGGAACAAAGCCCTCCGCCACCTCTACGGCCGAGATCGCAGCCTTGATTTCGTCCAGCCCGCTTGCGACCTGTTCTCTCGCTTTGCGCTTCAGACGCCGCTCGTGCGATTTGGAATACGGCGAACGGGACGCCTCCAACCCTGAATCGCGGTCAAGAGAGAGTCCAAAGCAGAGTGAAGGGGTGCTCACTTTCCACGAACTTTTCGTGTTTCAGCAGCTGCTTCTCCTTCTTCTTTGGCAGGGCCGTCGCATCTGGCGTGGGCTGTGTGTCCTGTCTACGGGGTCGTCGACTTGGCCTGTTGTATGGGGCCATCTGTACGTACAGCCATGATATCCGTCTCGGGTGTCAGCGGGCTGGGCAGGTCTTCGATTGCCGAAGCATTGCCCGTTGCTTGGGCCCTCCGAAGAGGCTTTGCATGGATGGACGTGCGAGCCCTGGCAGCTTTGGGCTAATCAGCAAATATCACTATGAGCACACGCTTGTGGCGCTTGAACTGCGTTCTCAACAAGCGTACCATTTGATTCGGCTGAGACGAGGAATTGAGAATGGGACTAAAAACAAGGCTAAGGTCGTCGGTGATCGCAGACAAGCCTGCCTGGCGCCTGAGACGCCTGCGCAGCTGTTGGAACAATTATATGTGATGGCCATGCCGCGCCGGGGAATGCCATTTTCAAGCCGCTGTACAGTACGTACATCCAAGGAGATTAGTCTACATCTACTGTAAGGATACTCCGAGTATAGATAGATATTATATATATATAATAAAGATGAGTGAAGGCAGTGGAGAGAATAACCTTATGCTACAGATAGTCCGTGTGCGTAGTCTAGTAATGCAACAGTGAAACCCGAAGAATTAAGATCCGATTAGAGTAGGGTATGTGCAAGAGCAATTAGTGTGCAACACCGTAGATGCAGTCCAGCCGCGTCTCGAAGGACTCCTCAACAGCTCTGCGCCTGATGTTGCCTTTCGACGCTGTGCGTGGAAGCGTGTCCTGTGGCACAACAATGACGAATTCGTGGATGTGATGCGCTCGTGAAGGTAGCGACGGGAGTGGAAATGTCTCGTCCGGCGGATGATGTCCTTCCTGACTTTCTCGTCATTCAGGCCCGCTTTCACCTCGACGAACAGCGCCGGTGATGGCCGTCCGTTACCGACGACGATGCAGTTCTCGATGAGATCAGCACAGGTCTGGCGGACGTTGTCTTCGATGGCTTTGGTATCGCATCGCAGGGAGTTCTCAGACTTTATCCAATCATCGTCCCGCCCGCGCGAAACGTAGCGACCGGGTGCGACTTCGAGGAAGAGATCGCCGGTGTGGTAATGGCCATCGGCAGCGCATAGCGAGCGGTCAGGGCAGTCGAGGGAAGAAGAGAGGATGACGAGTTCCAGAAGGCGCGCGTTAGCGTTCTCGAAAGTCTTCTCTTCGCTAGAGGCGAGTGGCATGAACGCATAGGAAGTGTCCGGCACCGGAGCCAGAGGAGCGTTCATTCCTTTCCACTCGGTATCCGAGAGGAGCATAATTGTACACTCGGTGTTGCCGAAGCAGTTGACGATTTTGATACCGTGTCGGTGGACCCACTCTTCATCTTCCTGAGAGAGCTTAAGTCCAGAGTAGAAGATCTGGTCGATACCCTGGAGCATGGCGAGCAGCTTCGGGTCTTTGCGGGAGTTCCGGAGATGGATAGCGAGGTAGGTGGGGAACTGCACCATGCGGTTGAGACCGCAGAGGGCAATCATGTCCATGAGCTCCGAGGAGGGAAATGCTTGACATGACGGCTGGACGGTACAAGCCGCATGCTGCATAGCACCTGCGAACATGATGGTTTGGCCAATATGACACATGCTTCCCCTGTTCAACAGATTAGCCAGGCACATTGTTGATAGTATATACTACTTACATCCATGTTGTAACGTCCTTCCGTGCTGGGTTACGGGGGGTTGTTGCTCGCTTTGCCTTCAGCATGTTGAAATCCCACCAAGCATAGCTACAGGGGATCAGCTTCGGCCGCCCCGATGTCGAACCCGATGTGTGGAAGATCATCAAGATCTCATCGCCGTTCTTGTCCTCTTCCACTGGGGGAAGGACAACCGAGCGCGTCTCTTCAGCGCGCGCGTCCACCGCGGCCCATGCCGTCACCGGGCCGTGAGAGGAGATAGTGCCGAAGGATAAATCGTAGATGAGCGCCTTGCCATTGGATTTTTGGAGTAGTTCGAAGATGACGTCCGGGTTGGGTAGCCGAAGAGAGAATAGCTGAGGGACATATCCTGCTCGTACGATGGAATATATGTGGAGGACGTCTACGTAGGTCATTCCACCAAGCCTGCGGAGGTAATGTAAGATAAAGCGCTATGGAAGGGTAGGAAGAGACGTACCAGACGCCGACGACCGAAGAGGGTGGGATGCCCTTCGCAGCCAGCTTCTCTGACCAATACCTTGCGAAGTGCTCGACATCAGCAAAGAAGCGGCTGTAGCTGATTGGATGCCATTGCAATATCCGCTGGGTGTTTGCGTCGTATTCTGGGACCTGGAAGGCGGGCGACTCGGGGTGCTCGAGAGCTATCTGTCGCAGTATGGATATGTGAGTCTTGTAGGACGGCATTGATAGAAGCGGCGGGGGAAGGTGGGTTGACGAGATCTGAGGAGGACCTGGCTACGGATTTTATATGACATCTTGAGCAGTAGCTGGACATTTGCCGAGTCACGTCGGTTGTCAAGCTCAAACATGGACCTGGATAGCCTTCACTATCAGCGCTACATGCCGAAGTGAGAAAAGAGCGGTCCGAGGGAGACGCTCTGGTGTGAAAAGGTCCCAACAGGATCATGTATCGGACAAAAGTCGACGGATGACAGGGCGGCGGTAGCTAATCGCCCAGATAGGTGCACATGTTCCCGAAGAGATCAGCGCAACGGGCTCGGATGTCCTCCAATGATCTCGCGGGAGCGGTCAATGAGTCAGTGCAATGCAGTGCATTCGGACGGAGATAACCTTGCATAACGATGAGCTAGGCCTTGCACGTTAGAGAAAAAAGCATCTGATGTAGGTACCGTCCCTTTGACGCCATCGCACACGAGGCGACTCCACCTAACCTGAGAACAGGCACTTTGTGCAATCCTGTACGCTTTTTCTCCGTTCTGCGCGGCCATGCACCGCAGCTGGTCCGACAAGGCTCTCTCCTGCCCGCTCGCTGCGGCGTTGTGCAGCGCACGACAGCATTATCCATAACTCCGGTCTTCAACTCAATGCTGCTTCCTTCGAATCTAGACCTAACGTGCATCTTTCACTTACGGCCATCCCGGCAACTCCAGTTAGACAACGGAAGAAGTTGTGATCCCTGCACACACACCAATTTCGTATCATGCACTGTCTGTACCCCACAGTGCGACAACTCATCCGGTGTGTTGCCAACCAACCGGGTTAGTTTCATTCGAATCAGTGTCGGCGCAACACACCGGTGGCACTGCTGACTCTTTGCGAGCTTGTCGACCAGACGCGCTTGGTGTTGTAGTACAAGAGATAGGTGTACGGCAGAGGCGGACTGCCGGTGGCTGCGATCGGCGGCAGTGGCATGACTGTACCTAAATCATCGTCTAGGGAGCGCACTCGTTTCAGCCTGCGCACCCGCACCGGAGGAGGCGGGGGCGGATGCAGCGTCGTTCGGCGTTAAATTTCGTCACGCTACGCAGCTTTCCGACGACAGAGGTTGTCAAAGACTTGAGTATTCTCCCCAGTCCCGGGGCGTGAGCCATGACGACGTCGACGTCATGAATTTCAGAGCTCAGACACACTTGAAGTGTGCGGGTCCTCGCCCAAGACAACGTTTGGTGATAGGCTACGCTGGAGAGCACGGTAGGTGAACGCATTCGACACTGCATGGACACACAGGGAGACGCACCTCGGCATCGCTACAGTCCACCCCGTGTCGACACCCGCGTGATGTCATTCAGCCTCGTTACCCATCGCTTGTTCGAGGGCAAGATCCAGTGCACGCACACACGTAAAGTGAGCTAGCAACAATGCCATTGCTGTTGTTCAAACCCGAGCGTCGTAAAATCGTCAGAGACAAGCGTCTCGGAGCGTCTCAACACCGGAAGAGCAGGCGCCCATTACCATTCCTAGGACTTGTCTGCCTAATTCTCATCAGAGTTCCATATCCAGGGCATGTCTAACGAAAATGACGCGAAAAAGTTACGGGTTCGGGCGCATGTCGTACCCGCTGTTCTACAACGTCGACAGCGGGGTACACTTCGCCTTTCGTGCTCTTGTGCGGACCTAAGCTGGGCGTATGTGCTCAAGAGCAAGTAATTCTTAGCTTGATTAGCTGGTGGAAGGTCAGCCAATTATGCGTTCTATCCCGCTGTGGCTTAACGTCCACCTTTAGCCTCGGCGCGATTGAACCGCGGTCCTCCCCTGGCTGTCCATGCTCTGGAGAGTTTCTCAGATTTTCGGGCATCTTCATCGCGCCGCGCTACAGTTCACAGGACGTGGCCAATTCCTCCATCCTCTTCTCCATTTTCCAACATCCTTCCGCATACGATGCATGTCGGCAGCGCTTGCCCTACAGGCTCGCGCACTCTTCATCACCCCTACGATTTTGATCGAGGAACGCACTTGGTACAAGAAGCCAAAAGAGTTAGGCAGGAATGCCAACCGTGGAGCCGGAGAGAACAAAGGACCTGCGAGACCTCACGCGTATGCCTTGCGGTCTCTACCCCAGCCTCGGGCGGATTTGGTGAAGATGGTCGACACGCTCTTCAGACGAAGGAGAGCTGCGGACTGCACCGTCGAAGATCTCAAGTCCCTTGCGCGGGACCCAGAGGCCGTTTCTCACCTCGAAGATCCCGACAAAGCTCGACAGCTAGCAGTGCTGATGGTGAACACCGGCGTGCCTCGCCGAGCGTGTCGAGTGTTTCTGTTGGCCCGTTACTTTGGCTGCGAGTTCAAGCAAAATGCCTACGAAGCAGTTGCCTATCAGCTGGCTCAGACCGGGCAGTGGGCCGAGATTCCCTCTGTGGTCGCCCTAGGTCGGCGTCAGACCGGACGTACGACCGCTCGTCTCCTCAACTGGAGGACACGAGCTCTCGTGGAGATATCCCACTTTGGCTTGCTGGACCATGTCCTAGAAGAGTTCGAAGAAGAAAAGATATTACCCAATCGCAGGACCTATCACACACTGGTCTCGGGCCACCTCCGCAACCGCGACCTGGCAAAGGTAAAGGAGTGCCTAGGCTGGATGGAGGATGCGGGCTTCCCTATGGACGCGTCGACGCATGCTCTACTTGTGTCTTCGTATCGTTCTTTGGGTCGCGACAGTCTCGTACAAGGGCAGGCTCTAGGATCACTGCAAGAGCTCGGGGAACGAAACGCAACAGCGGTTGTCAACAGCCTAATTCAACTATCTCTCGATTCTCGCGATATTCAGAGTGCCCTCAAATATCTGTCTTTCTTCGACAATCCGTCAACTCACTTCCCTGGCGGTGATAGATCCGAGGCCACTTGTCCCGGCCCTATTGCGTCCAAGCGACATCCCACCCTCGCTCCTGATATTGCTACTTTCACCATGTTGACGAATTATGCGGCACGTATGCGCGATCTCCCCCTAGCTCTGGAAATGGTCGAGCGTATGGATCATTTCGGCGTTCGCGCGGACGACGCGTACATCGCTGCCCTGATTCGTGTTTACTGCGCTGTAGGCGAGGTCTCGGTCGCATTACGAATCACCGCCACAATATGCAATGACATACCCGCCGCTCTATCGCTGCTGAGGACCCTTGGATTGAAAAACGATAACTCAGGCGGGCCGGCCCTTGCACTCACGGATGTCGATGTGAGCATCCGCATCCTGAATGCTCTACTCACTGGTGTCCTGGGTACTCGGGGATTGCCCGGGATGAGAGCCGTTACCCACCTCATGCTTGTATTCGGACTGGAACCCAACGAAGAGACTGTAGAGATTCTCATGTCCTACCTTACCTTCCAAGAGAAGGTCTCTCCGAAACAGCTCAAGAACGCTTTGATGGTGGTTCCCAGACGTGTTCAGCCTACTCTGCGACATGTTCACATTCTCCTCCGTGCTATTATCGGCAAGCGACTGGCGTTACAATATCCTCGTGGTTGGGCCGCTATCGCCGCAGTGGCAAACAAAGATCCCCCCTCTGATGATTTCTCTACGTCCCATCTCGACATGGGTCCAGCACCGGGCATGTTGGAACGTATGGCAATGGCCGTGCTGCAAGGAAAGCCTTCATACCGTGGAATTACTCGACGTCTATTGCAGTCTCTCATGGATCGCGATGTCAGACCCGACCGCGCGACCGTCCACCTAGTCTTACGCCACGAAGCCCTCGTCAAACGCAACATGGCTCGCGCTCGAACAGCTCTTAGTGTTATGCTGGCCCGTGGCATGCATGCGAACGAATATCACTTCGCTACTATCATGCAGGGATATGCCCTGTCTGGAGACGTGCGCACGGCGGAGAAGGTGCTTTGGCGCGCCAAGGATGCGGGCTATGGTACGGATGCCGTGCTGTACACTATCCTTATGCACGGCTACGCTCGTCTCCGGCAGCCGAAGGAGGCCGCTCGGATTTTCCATCTTATGCTTAAGGAGGGCGTCCAGCCAGACGTTGCCGCCGTGGACGCTCTTGCCAGTGCCTACTTCGCCGTGCGAGCATTCTCGGCTGCGCGGAGAATTCTCATACAGTCCTGGGAACGCTTTGCGCCGTTTCCTCCCGAGCTGCACGACGCGAATTTGCGCACACTCGCTGTCGCCTTTAGGAACCTCGCACCGCAAGGCATCGTGCCGTTCAACCGTCGATCACGGCGTGTACTTCGTTTCAAGCTCAAAAGGATCATGCAGAACTTTGGAAGTAGACGTTTTGGAGCACGTCGAGGGATACAGGAGAGGACGCGGCACATCCGGGTTGTATCAAGCGTCGTATCTCATAATAAACGAGCTACATTACAGTAATAAGCCTTTTCCTTGTCTGTCTCAAGTGGACATATCGGCGGTAAAGTAGGCCATCTTAGATATACCAGCTCAAGCCGTCATGCCGTCTCGTTCATGATAGGGAAAACTTCAGATCCAGAAGCCGCAGCGCATCCCGCACACCGTCGGCGTTAACTTGTCTAACCCGCTGCCTGCCGCATTCAACGAGCACCTCCTGTGGAACAAGCTGCAGCGACGGCGAGAGCCGGTCGCGGTCGGGTCCGCACAAGCGAGCATCAGTAGGTGAAGCTGACGTGGTCGCTGTGTGCGCTGTTGCAGGTGGGACTGTGGGAGGGGAGATGCCTCGCTCCGGAGTGACAGTGCCTGGCGCTGGGAAAATCTCCACACGAGGCCCGCTACACTTGAATCGTCGAGCTACAACGTCTGCGAGGAGGTCGAGGTCCGCAAAGCTGACGTTGGGGTGTGACTTGATTTGACGCCACGCGTCGTCGCATGAGACGGTATCGCTCGCCGCGACCGGAGGAGCAGCTGACGGCTGAGAAGGAGCATCACTGGCCGCCGCCACAGGAAGACCGCTCTCACGGCCACGGCCGCGACCACAGCTTGTTGGATTCCCACAACAGCCGCTGCCAGCCGACGAGCCACATCCGCCACTGCCGGCACGAGAGGGACAGTCGCTACAAGGCGTGTTGGAGGCGACAGACTTGCTTATCGCAGAGCAGAAAGCTTTGCCAAAGTCGTCGTCGGCACACGCGGGACAGTTGGAAGGGTCACCGGTACAAGTAGGTGCCACGGTGGAGGACGGGCAGGACACAGGGAAAATGAAGTTGCCAGCCGGCTTCGCAGCAGAACGGCGCCGAAGAGGAACAGGGGGTTGGTAAGCAGGAAGATTGTCTAGGATGGACGTCTGCTCAGGCTCGGGCAATGGCTGAGACTGGGGAGCGGCGAGCTGTAGGTCTGTTCGCAGGGAAACGGGCCTTCTCTCAGTGTGCTCCACTTTTAACGGCTTAGAGTAGCGTTGCTCGGCAGCACTTTGCATGGCTAGCTCTCGGCAAACGCACGGCGTGCTGTCCGTGCAAAAGCCACAGTTGAAAGTATCGAGGCCGCCTCCCGACTCAAACACGTTTGTCTTCCCCGAGGAGATGAAATCGAAGAGATTGCCAAGAGTATTGGGCTGCCCGAATACGGGGACGTCTCTCGACGGGGAAAGGGAGGGCACGGGAGAGAAGCTACTGTGTTCAAATGACGATGGAGAGGAGGCGATGGAAGACGGAGAAGACGCGTAAAGAGTCGGGGTGGAGGGCGTACGCCTGAATGCGTCGAAAGAATCTGTCGACGTTTTATGTCTCTTTGGCTGAGGCGCAGTTATAAGACTGTCGCTGGTGAATAGCGGGACCTCATCGCGCCATCGCTTGCGGGACGCTTCGCGGAGAGTATCCCGCTCTTGTTCGCAAGCGGCGAGCTTCTCCTGGAGGAGATTATTCTCCTTGCGAAGCTTCTCGTTCTCTTCTTTGAGGCGCTTAGCAACGTTCTGCAGGGCAACATTCCTCTCTATTTCACCCTGTTCGTACTGCTGGACTTTGAGCTGCAGCTCGGCGAGCTGGCTCTGCTTGCGCTCACGGAATGCGCGCTGTGCGGCTCTGAGGACCCGAGTGAGCAAGATCAAAGCGCGTTTATTATCAGAACACACCGGTTCTGCACGCGACGGCCCTTCGCGTCGACCTGGAAAGCATTACGGGACAATATAAGCACGCAAGCAGGAATATGTTCCAGTGAATCTACCTCAGGGTCATCTGCGGAAGATAGAGGTGAGTCGTTCTTGGGCTTGCGGCCCGGTTTAGGTTTGGCAGGGATGACCCATTCCTTGGATGCTAGAGGGGGATTGATATTAAAGTCAGTGCACAAGCAGCGGGGAGAATGAGAGGAGCGACGTACGGGTCGCCCAAAGCATGGTGGATGATGACACTGCAGGGACGCCAACCCCTGCGCTCATCGCGGAAAACGATATTGGCAATGACGGCGATGGCGGAGGATAGTCTGTCCAACAGGAAGCCCAGGGCGATGGCAGACGGGGTTAAGTACGAGACCCTCGCGATGCGGGTGAGGGTGTTAACTGATAAGATATCGCGCAATCTCCTCATTATATCTCATCCGGTATTTGCCGACGAGTCAGATCACGCCCACGCCCAAGCGCGCGCTTGCGCTCCTGTGACATTCAATTTTCTGAAAAGCCCTGTAATTACATGTGCAACAGCAGCGCTCACTAGACACACAATACCAAGCGACAACTCTGGTTCACTGCTCTCCGTGAAGCTAACAACACTACAATTGATCCACCGTGCAAGCAAAGGAAAAAATTTGACGTCGTTGAAAGCTCGTTGCGGCGGTGAGCTTACTCAGAACGGAGATGGCACGAGATATATTGCAGTAAGCTTCAAGACAAGATAAGAAGCTGGTAAGTACAGAATCTACAAGCACAGATGATTAAGAGAACAAGTAATTACGTTCAAGCCAAAGCGGGAAGCTGGAGAGACCGAGCTCGAAGGGCAAGGTTTATGTACTACGAGAAATCAACCCTCGCAGAAAGCGAGGTTATCCTGAACAAATGAGGAAGGCGTCGGGGCTGAGCTCAAGAAGTAAAAGTAAGCGCGAGATTGTGCGCCAGAGGCGTGTGCTGGAAAGTTAGTGGTACGAAAGTGACCGTGCAGTAAGTCCCTATAGATGGCCGCTGCAGTGTAACCTCGGTGATGTGTGTACATTACCCTCTGTAGGTAGCACTATAAATTCGGGAAAAACGAACCTCGGCGATGTTACAATCCTTTCCGTCCTAGAAGAAATTGACTATTCCTTGTGAGGTGGCGAGACTGCGAGGTTCGACGGGCTCGTCGAGCGTGAGAAGGAAGTTATCAAGCACTGCAAGGTCAGCGACCTCGGAGCCTAGCAGCCACTCGTCGTGCTCGGGGCCATAGCCGCATCAGCGCACGAGATGTTAGTAACCGCGACCGTGTTTGCGCCGATCGAGGATGCGGTCAGCGAACCGTTCGAATTGACGAGGAGGAGCAATGAGGCATGGAAGGAGGATTGAGGAAGGCCAAGTGTATAGAATAAGGTATCTGGCCAGGCCTTAATAATAGCATAGAGGGCGTCGTAGCGTGCCATAAATTTGGCGATGCGATTGTCGGCCCGCTGCTGCATGTAGTCACGCCAGTGGTGAAATTTTGAAACGTGGAACCGAGGACCTTATCGCCAATTTATAGCGAACTTGAACTTCGTCGTCACGTTCAGTGTCCGCGTAAGCCACTCGCGCTAGCATCGCAAGTAAGAGGCCGTCACGGGCCTCCATAGCATCGGCTACGCCCATAGAGTCGGCCCCGGGGCCTTCGAAGCAGCGGTGGATTGTAGTGGCCAGACAAGCCGGTAGAGAGACATGAAGTAACATCGTGCGATATACGGAGGCAGGCGAGAAGCCAGCACAAATCGGAGATATACTGACAACAGCTATGAGCTCTCGTATGACAACATCAACACTCTTCAAAACATACTGGAAAGATGATAAACTGGCAGAAGCCGTTTCTCTCATGCGCTTGCCATCCCTCAGGCATGTTCTAAGAGACCTTCTGATCTGATTCGGGGTAGACGAGGACATAATTTCATTCGACACTCAGCTGTGTTTTTCTGTTTTTCAGGCCGATGTTCCGAGTGTCCGCGCGGTGAGTCACTATGCTCCCTGACGATCGTTATTCGGAAGATCCGTACAATAGCGGTGGCCGGATCCGTCTTCAGCTCTACAAAAGAAAGAGCCAAAGACCGGGCTGTTCGCAGTTTCGAGTAAACAAAACTGGTCCTCGGTGTTGTGGATAAGTGCGGACGCAAACGATTCTTCGCCACAGGTCATAATATACGGCTGTCACTTTTAGCGAAGAGGCAGGCGCCGAGCTGAGCTGCCATTCTGTCGAGTGACAAATCTTGGGGTTGCACGACTTTCCTCCCTCTTCATAGTGAGCAGAGGACCACAAAGATTACTGGAGCTCTGGCCACATAGAACGCTGTGAACGAGGCCCTTGAAAATCCAGTCCCCTGTCACTGATGATAGATGGTTTCCCGTTGAATAAGCGTTCGGCTTCCTTGTATTGCAGATGGCTGTGTTGTTCGACCACTCGCCAACCAAAGACGTTCGACTGGGACTTCGGCATGAACTGATCGTCAGCAATGGACGATGGGGCGGGCTGAACAACCAATGGCACAAACGGATGCGGAAGATCCGTAGTGTACGATCTCATGTCGGAAGCGGATATCGTTTACATAGCCGTCACCAGGCTTTTAAGTGGTAACGATAACCATACTAGCGCGTTCTGGATTCAGTTATCGGCATTCTACTGAGAAAAGATGCTGTCATAGACATCGTCAGAGGCTTCGCCATAATATTGCATGCGGAGACGCAACAATTTCTCGAGCGTGCTCGCAGCGCAATCGCGAGTAGACAGGTCTCTGCTTCTGTGTCATTTCCTAAGCCGACTTCAAGGATGGCCTTGAACGCACTCGAGTCGGGGGGATTGGTCAACGCGTCCTGTAGGGCTTCAAGGAAGCGCAGGATATTCTACACGCAGCTTTAAGTCGAAAGCGCAAACTGGTTAGTGAAGGATTCGTGATGAAGGTGGGAGACGCACCTCGCCAGTTAATATTCCTATCGATACATAAAGGCATACCCCAAATCACTGTTTCGCGCTGGTTGACCCAAGCTCGGTATTACTCACAAAATCGATGATGGCAGCTGAAGTGGAGGTAGACCAAGCTGCTTTCAGTATGTGGAATTGGGCGAATGCCAGATGGGTCGTCTACACGTAGATGTATTACATGACCGCGCCAGAGTTTCGCGAGCGCAGGTAGGCTCGTTTGGGCATAAGGAATATTGGTGTCGACGCCACAAAGGTGTGGTAGACGCCATAAGGCACGTGACACGACGATTTCTCGCCTGGCGTCTATTCTGCCGTGTCGTCCTTCGCGCTCTGCACTTGGTGGAATTCGAATGTCCGCCAGTATATTTCGACAGTTACCTGCTGCTAGACGGGCTGCCGCTTGCATATGCTCCTCGCCTCGACGCTTATACTCCGCCCTGCCTGCTCTGCAACGACGCCCGGAGTTCGAACATGACCGGTCGACCACTTCGCAGACAGTTGTCGACACCACTTCCGGTCCTCAAGACAGCAAACCTCGAAGGCGCAAGCTCAAATCCGCCAATATAACAACGAGCGAAGACGCGTCCTCCAGCTCAAAGGACCCAATGGAACCTACTGGCGTAGACAGGTACCTCGCGCGTCTGCAAAGCGAGGGTCTCGAACCCACACTCGAAGACCTAGACAAATGTCGCCCTCGACGCTATCCCGCCAAGCTATCTGACGCATACGTCGAGAAGTACAACGAGCTTGCTGATACTGTGTGTCGCTCCTTCAGTAAAGCGCAGCTCCAAAAGTTCGTTCAACTATGCGGATTGAACCACAACTGGAAGGGCCAAACACGGAAGAAAATCGACTATGCCGAGGCTATCATTGAGGAACGATGGGGTTGGCCGAGTTTGGTGGAGGTTCAAAAGGAGAAAAGGGACAGAACGGAAGTATTAACGGAGTGTATGTGTCATCTGCTGTCGTCCGCTCACGCTAGCTCATTGTCCTTCAGCGTTCCCTGTTACTCCAAGTCAACTGTTCGTAATCATGGGCAAAGGTCAGTAAATCTGTGACCTTGCTGGTGCTGCACTATTCACGCGCGGCTTTGATCAGATGGTGTCGATTTGTTGCGGCTGTCCATGAAGTATAATGTCCACATATCCCTCATTCCTCAACCACTAGCGTTGCGCATCGAAGGCATACGCGGTCGCCTACGACGACTGGAGGAGGAGCTGAAGTCTTTAGTTAAGGTGCGTACAAGCTATTTTTCCCCGTGCTGCGGTCTTACGACTAGCCAGAATATTGTGGAAGACACCGTGCAGCTTCCTACACGAACCGCTATACGACCTGACTTGGTCCAACGGATATCTCGCCTTGCCAACGCCTATATGGAAAACATAGGTGACAAAGGACTCGTGAGGTCTTTCATCATTTTATCCTCAACATCGAAGCTTAGTGTCTCGCCAGGTCAGGATATGTGCGAAAAATAAACATAGTCTGGGCAGTGCTAAGAGACTAGCCAGTAGAGCATCGGGCGAGGTACGTAAAACATCATGTGGTTTAGAAATCGTGCTCATTGTTCTGTAGATGGTTCCTGTTTCCCAAACGCCACTGGTGTCGTATTTGCCTGCCGATATACCTTTCGCCTCAGAAATACCCGAGGTCATGTCGCCATACTCTTACGCACTATACCCATTCCTCTCGCCTCGCGCGCTTCCATGGTACATGAACACTGCAGGCGCGTTTCGTACTAGACGAGTCGGAGAATGGCTTAGCCAGTCTAAAAGAGAGGATCTTGAGAGGACTGGGGGTCTCGCTGGTGGCGAAGGAATGCTTCTGACCGTCACAGGGTGTGTTGATATTTTTGGCTGCTCATGCGTAAGGCTAATACCTCTTCAGCGAGCCACTTGATTTGCGAAACGCACTTTTTACGTCCGAGCCTGTGCATGGCCGTCGTAGGACTATCAAGGCATCGTGAGTCGTCACGCTATTCACTGGGATATATAGGCTTACCCGTCGAAGTACCGGTCATATATTATTCAACACCAGGGCAAAAGCGCAGCATGCCACTTTGACGCCACCTTTGCGAGGGTCTCATCCGTTTGCAAAAGTCCTTAAGTGGGTATCCGAGCGTAGCAATGATGTCCGCTCATCATTCGTATCTGGGTGAGTATACATGAACTAATCATTTGTAATGACAACTGACCGCATTTTTAGGCTCCCTCCTTCGCTCGTGTATTCACCTTTGCCCGAGCAAAGGCAAAGGCTTGTGCATCGGCTAATCTACAAGGCTCTCCCCTCGAGCAGTTCGTCTGACAACGTCAGCGAATTACTCCGCAGGAAGATCATCGTGTTTGAGATGCTGCTGGCGCAACCGAAGCAAGCCGTCGAGCACGTCGATGCTCTCACTTCATTGACTATTGAACCTCGGTGCCAACAAGGAACCGAGAGCCGGCTGAACGTGATGATGCCGGACAGGTAATGTGTTCTGTCTTTGCCGGACAAGCATCCACTAAATCAATGTAGGGCTATGGACATTCGCTTGTCTGGGCTCGAAACAGGATCCCTGCCTGAAGAGTCTCAGCCAGCGGAGTTGAGAGAATACATAAGCGCCCTAACAAAATTGTATGTTAAGCAGTCTTCTTTTCTTTTCTTCCACTGATCAGCTCGCTGTTATAGCTTGAACAACACAGGCAAGGTTACCGCTCAGCCAGATCCTCCTCTGACCCTGCAGGCCGATGGAGAAACGTATATTCTGCACACCAGCGTTACTGTTCGGCAAAGCGTCGAACAACTCATGCGCCAGGAAGGAGATTCGAATGCGCCACTTAACGTCGTCAGCGAGAGTAGACTAGATCTAGAGAGTGGTCAAAGGACCACTGCTTGTGAGGTATGTTGTGCACGTTCATGACGCTCAGAGAGTATAACCTAACCTTCGCATAAACAAGATTACATGCGAGGATCCTACGTCGGAGCACACTTGGCACGAGTTCCTTACTGGCTGTGATACTCTGTCAACCGCTAGCTACCATGTGCCCTCATCCCATTCGCACTCACTGGACACCGTTCCAACGGCCGAGATTTAGCAACAGCTACTAGTACTGCATCGTTTGCATAATGTATCCTCCACTCACTAATGTAGATGCAATGATGGGTATGTTTCAGCAAATCCAAACAGAGAGACTACTGCAGTGCCCAGCTCGTATCGAGCTCCCCTTCTCTCACAAAAGGCTTGTCTAGACCAGCCACAACGCTCTCGCACAAGGGGCAGCTACCCACGAGTATATCCTCGAGCTCCCTTCGTAGCTTCTCTGTATTTTTCTCCTTGTCTTCGGCGTTGCGTCGACCGCCGCCGCCGAGACCGGGGATCCATCCTACGGGCGCAGTGACGACGCTTACAAGTGCATCTGGCACGATGAGATCGCGCAGCCGGTCTCCTGCCGATAGCAGGTTCTTGCCCAGAGAGTTCCCTGGTCGGACTCCATTTTGCGGGGGCGCAGGGACACCGAAGTTAGCCGACAGAAGCGTGCGCTGGTGTGATGGTGGCCGCGGAGCATTGAGGCGATCGCTCGAAGTCTTCATGAGCTCGTTCTGTAAAGCCAGGATCTTCCGTAGTGCCGGCGCCGGAAGGTATTCCTTCGTCTACACGAGGGTGAAGATATCGCGATAAACAGAGAGAGACGCAAACTTACAAGACCGATGAGGCAGTCCGCATGGAAGGTGTGTTGGCACGGAAAGACGTAGAACTGTCTAGTAAGGAGTGGCTGATCGCAATGTGAACACCGCTCGCCCGCGTCGATGGTGATGAACCGCTTCTCCAAAGCCGTAATATCTCGTTTGATAGCTTCGGCATTCTTGGTGACGTCGTCCATTTCCGCCTTCAATGAGTCGATGTGCGTAGAGTAGCCCTCCAAAGCGGTACAGATCTCCTCCTTGAAATCATCTATGACCACAAAGTCAGGGAAGAACGGTAGAATGTCCTCGATCTTGAGCAGGTCAGTATTGTCGAGGAAGCGCATGGCACTGAATAGCAAGAAGTCAGCACTGGAGGCAGTAAGACAATCTGAAATACTCACAGCTTGATATCTTGCTTCTGTTGCACAACGTACTTCGCAATCTTCAGCCATAACCTCTTACGCAGCTGACGATCCTCTTCTGGCGGCATGTCGGCATTGATTGTGGCAAGCTCGAGGTCGTCCTTCTCAAGGGCCAGATCAACACTGCTCTCCCAGAGGCCCATCTGAGAATATATATGCACGCAGGGCTGTGTGCGGTTTGTCTGTTTGCATAGGCGTAGAGCGTAGTCCAGGTCGTAGTATGGTTTGCGGGTGAGAGGATCTGACGGTGCGGATGACAGAAAACGAAGTAATGGACCGTCGTCTTCTGGCGCCACGGTTGTGGTTGGTAAATGACTATCACCAGAGGCCAATGTCGGCTTCGCGGCGTAGAATGTGATGATGAGATTGTGAATGACGGAAGAGGTATTGCCCTGTTCGAAGATGAGATGGTTGAGGTAGCGCACGGCTTGGTTGGGAGACAAGGGATCTCGAGGCATATGTTGGAGGCAGAGCAACGCAGGGACGAGTCGAAGCGGATCGAGATCACGTCGACGCAGCCACGAATCTACTGTCTCCTTAGGGACCTGTCGCATTAGCGTAGGCGCGAAGCGATAATACAGTCCGAGGTCGGGCTAACTGAATCGTTAGCTGAATCACGACAGTCGTACATACAACCTTTACCTGTCGGTTCAGAGCATCAATGGCCTTGAGCCACTCTTCCTCCATTATCCAATGCTCGATTACTCGCGTGTAGTCACCGATAACTGTTGCGTAGTGGAGATAAAAGTCGGTTCGCCCGTGTCCCTGGATAAGCTCGTACACAACCGCTGGTGCCAGGTTGTTCTGCGCGCATGTGTGCTCATCAGCGCATGGCAATCGCAGCGATAATGAAACACAGACCTTGTATGTTTCAAAGAATTGCCGAAGGTCATCTTCGAGAATTGTCCGCTCCATCTGAAAATTTGCAACATCTTGAGAAATAGACTCGGACGCCACCAGATCGTCTAGTTCGTTGCACCTGCTGAGGTAAAACTCCACTAGCCATGTAGCAAGCATCATCCGCTGTGATAAGTCCTATAGGAACACTCGCTTATATTAGTCTAACGAGCGCACCAACTAACTTCGACTCACCGTCTTCTTCGTCCTCTCCAGTCGCGAAATTAAGTACGACCGGAGAGCATCTCGCTCTCCGACATCAAGAAATCTCAAAGATGCCTCTTCGAATGTGACAGAACATTGCGCATATGCGTGCGCAGCCTGCAAGTAGCGGCCTCCTGCGAAAAAAGCGTCTGCCTGGGAACACATGACGGCATCTCGTTGCTTTGCGGTCTAGGGCCTCAGCCAGTAAGCGGGAAGTCGGCACAGCAGGGGTTAAGCGATTCACCTTGGCATATTGCAGAGCTATGTCGTATCTGCCTTTCTCTAGATTGAGTTTCCAGACGTCCCGGTCCTCGTTCTTTATCCCAAGCTCGTATATAGCCTGATCGGTATAGATCCAGTACGTCTTGCGTATTTGGTCGACAGTGATACCCATTACCACTTCGTTGGCTTTCTAGAGCAGCCATTCGTCAGATCCAGAGTCATGCAAAAAAAGTCGGACCATCGTCACCAATGGGAGGATGTCTTCGTACGTTAACTGCTCGTTCAGCGCTGAGACACCGAGCACGCGATCCTTATATAACAGGACAAAGTGGAACTCGGTGAAGGCCATCGACAGCGGCACCTCTGGAGGTCCCGCGCGCGCAGGAGAGCCGGAAAGCTGAGGATAAGGAAGCAGCTGTGCACCGTCAATGAAGTCGTCCGAGGATGACTCGAAGTTGAGGGAGCCGTGGAAGACCCCGTTAGCTGAATATGTATATTAGTAACCAGTCCAATAACGAGGAGTAGAGCTTCGTACAAGTCATCCACGCGAGAGTACGCGGCAATGACAGGGCTTGGTCGGCTTTAGGGTTCAATAGGTGTAGTTCAGAATGCTCCGTGTCACCAGCGAGCTCCTTAATGTCTTGCACAAGTCAGGCACAGGAAGGACTGTTGATCTGTGTAGGACGTACTTGGTGCATTCTCGCTGTACTGGGCGAATAGCCTAGAGAATAAGCGGCCACCCTCATCAGACCGTCTTTCCGGCATGCCAACAAACTGATATATTCGTGTAGCAGTGGTGACCAGTATCAGCGCTTTTCGCTGGTCCATGGGCGGAAAGAAGTCGAAGCTGATGCCGGTGACAGGGTGCCTCTCAGGAAGCGTGAAGACAGCCTGAAGGTACCGCTCTTGAGACTTGAAGAAGTCGTCCTGCGCATCCAAGACGGCCTCGTATATTGTCCCGTTGCGAGCCCCAATTAGGATCTCACGGGTGGAGGTCGAATGCGTTGAGCTCAGCAGCGCGGACTTGTTCCACGCGATGCTTTCAATGACCATTTTGAAGCTCTTGAGCTGTCGCGGCTTCTTCCATCCACGGTAAAGGTACCAGTTTTCGCCTTGCACGGACGTAATGATGAGGTGCCTGCCGGAGGGATCCAGGAAGTGTTTATGGATGCTGAACTCATTCTGCTTCCGGGGGATTTGGATTTGTACCACTTGATCGTCCCGCGAAAGCTCTATTAGCACCAGAGTGTTATTTGCGAGACCCATGACAAGAACATCTGAAGATACGACGAGGGACAGCAGCCGTGCGGGGAGGGTGTATTGTACTTGGCCTAGTTCGAAAATTGGTTGCACTGGCTCCGTATCTGTCCCCTGGGACGGGTTGAGTGAGACATAAGTATATGAAATGTACATGTGGCGTACGGGTGGTGCATATTCATCTGCCGCGCTCTCCACTTCATACGGTGAGTTCTCGAAACCCTCATAATGTACCTCGGGCATTGACAGCGCTCCAGGCGCATAACCTCCTTGAGGTGCGGAAGTATGCTCGACGTCTGCAAGGATTTCCTTTAGATTGGATACTTATGAGCATAAATTCACTCACAGTCGTCCAACATGACTTGTCCTTGCCGTCGTCGTTGGTGAACGCAGCGTGGTTGTGCGCGCAGCGTGTCCGCCGGCAAGTCCTACATCACCACTAGAAGCGCCCAATGTTGGACGATCACATGTAGGCGCCTAAACTTTCAGACTTCGGCCTTAGTGTACGGTGAGGAAGGCATGTGTTATAAACATAGTGTTTTTCGCACGGTCAATAACGTGTTTATAACGGTGAGAAACTCGAGGGGGTATTTGACCCGGTGAGAAAGTGTGAGAAACTCCGGGGGTCGGCAAAGTGATGCAGACCGACGACAACACACCAAATACGGCTTTTGGCCGACGCCGTGCGGACGTCCGCTCGATAATGGCAGAATACATCCGCCGTGCCGAGTGCGCTATCTCAACCTCGCCATGCAATCAGTGTGCGTTCGGATTCGGCACACAGGTTCAGCATGGGTTTGCACCTGTAAGGGAACGTGGAAAGTATATATGCGCTGTGATGGCCGTCCTTGGTGTATGGGTATCCAATGTTACAAAGGAGGATGCCGCTTCGCTAGACAAGTGGATAGCCAACCTGAGCGCCGGTGCAGCAAAGGCATACGAGCATGCGAACTCACCAGTATGTTTCATATAGTATTGCAGCTGTTATATTGC